AGCTGGACACCCTGTACAGACTTACCATAGCTATGCTGAAATGTTAGACACCAAATTACATCTGGGAGACTATGTTTTTTTTTGTTTTTTATGAATTTGTTGGCTCACAGCACCTCGATCCTTGAAGGATCTATTGTGCGTCAATTAAGCTATTCGTTTATTTTTTAAAATGTTATTTTTGCCAATTCTGCGTGTCTTAGTAGGCTAGTTGGATTGATCGACTCATAGCTACTGGGGAGATCCATCCATTCCTTCCCAAATAGTTCCAGTCTAAGCCTTCCAAATCTATCACATCGACAAACGATGTGAAAAGCTGTTTCATTCTCCTCTTGACTGAATCTGCATAGTGGATTGGTTGTCACTTTACGACAGATGCCTGCTTCTGAGCCATAGGCTGTTGAGAGCCATCTGTATAACAATTAAACCCATTTTTTGGTTTGTGTTGTCTGCTAATGTCTATCTCAACCCCAGATTTTTAGTCCAGATATTCACGGATTAGAGTGTCAGAGCGCATGGCTAACACTTCGTCACGTCCAATCCTATTCAGCAGTACTGTGTGTCCCCCTTGACAGGGAATTACGGAGCAGCTCTTCAGCTTGCTTAGCCTGTGTATTGTATTTGCTGCTTGAGCCTCTACCTCCAGCCACAACGGTGACATGTTCAACAATACCAGGGCTATGTTGGGAAACAATAATGAGAGGCTATGATGCTGGCCAGGACATTGTAAAGTTTTGGTCAGACTGTTGTAAAGCGATAATGGAAGCAGCTGAAGAAGTGCTAGGACCAAAGGAGAAGGAATTAAGGTCACCCTGGTTTGATGAGGAATATAGAGCAACCACGAATATGAAGAACATTGCATATGAAGCAATGATTAGGACAACCACAAGGAGGTCTGTTGATGAATACAGACAGAGAAGGAAAGAAAAGAAACATTTACATTGCAAAAAGAAATGACAGATGGAGAGAGAGGAGAGAGAAAATATAGAACTGTTCACCGCAACAAAAAATTAGAGGCTTCTTCTGAATGGCCAACAAGGACAGAAAGAAATATATTACTAAATTAAAATCCTGTAGGGATAAAGAAGGTAACCTGATGACCAACATGTCGGATGTTCTTGGCGAATGGAGGAATTACTTCAATAATCTTCTCAACTCAAGTGAAGAAGATACCTGTGATGAAGCAATAAATCAAGAAGAAGAAATCAACAGAATACAGATGAGAGAACAAGAGATAGATCTTGAACCGTCTTATGAAGATGAGGTTGCAGATGCCATCAAAAAACTCAAAAATAATAAGGCTCCTGGTGCTGACGCACTCCCTGCTGAACTTTTAAAATGCGGTGGAAACAAGCTTACCAAAGCTCTACAGGATCTCCTTGTGATATGGACTGATGAGATGATGCCCTCTGACTGGAATAGGTCAATTATCTGTCCTATACATAAAAAGGGTGGTAGCTTGCTGTGCAGCAATTATCGAGGTATCTCGCTGCTGTCTTGCGCCTGTAAGATACTATCTCATATTCTGTTTGGACGTCGTTTGCCATATGCTGAACATGAGCTCGATCCGTGCCAGAGTTGGTTTAGGAAAGGAAGATCCATCTCTGACCAGATTTTCTGTGTGCGAACCATTCTTGAAAGAAGCCATGAGTATAAAACCAAAACTCACCATCTGTTCATCGATTTCAGGGCAGCGTATGACAGCATAATATGCGAAGAACTGTATAGTGTTCTCAGAGAATTTGATAAAGCTTACCATGAAGGATGTGAGATGTATGGTTAGAGTAAATGGTGACAGATCAGAAGAATTTCGTTCAGGTAAAGGACTTCGACAAGGGGATGCGCTCTCCTGTATGTTGTTTAACCTAGCACTTGAGAAAGCTGTGAGAGACACTGGTTTACGTGAACGGCTGGTTTGTCGGTGTGCTGGACAACTTTGAAGGCCACTGAAAAGGAACTCCTTATTTTTGAAAGAAAAGTTCTCCGTGTTTTTGGGGGAGTGAAAGTCGGAGAGGAATGGAAGGGGCGCACGAATCAGAAGCTTTACAATGCTTTCGGAGAAGCTGATGTTGTGGAAGCAATGAACCTGCGGCGTTTAAGACATGCGGGGGCATATTGCCAGACTGGGGGATGGAGAAATGCCCAAAATATTGCTTGCACAGCCAATCTATGGAGCAAGATGAAGAGGGAGACCATGGCTGAGATGGTCGGATGGTGTGGCGGGAGACGCCTGCAGCATGCTGGGAGTAAGGAACTGGATGGTATCGGCGCAAGACCGTGATGATTACAGGAAATGGTTAGAGGAGGCCAAGACCTGTAACCGGGTTTTAGTGCCATGAAATAATTATAATAATAATTAAATATAATATACAAATAATTGAAATGAAAAACAATAGTGATAAAGTAGGGATTGGATAATGTTGAGTATAATATTTACAATATACAAATAACTGAAATGAAAAACAATAGTGGTAAGTTAGGAATTAGGTAATGATAAGTAGAATATTTACAACAGAAGTGTTAAGGCAGAATAAGAACAATGGATAAAGATTTAGGATAGAAATTAATGGTTTGAGACTCTATTTACAATGAATAATAGGATTAAGTAAAACAATTGATGTAGGGTGTGTTATTAAGGAATGATTAGGCAACAGTTTAATTATTAAGTTCAGAGAAATCGATTCGTTCCACAAATGCATCAAATTCTGAACAAATATTTTTTAATCAGATCCTTCTTTGAAGGTTGCCTTTATTGACTAAACATGGGTATTCAAACCTTATTCATGTCCTAAAAAGCCTGGATCCCTTAGATTTGAACATGTAGCAGCACTAATTGATGTGGCATAAAACCTCTGGCTTAAGTACACAGTCAGTTAGCCTCTTCCATAATGCTGCTCAGGTTGCATACATATAGCTCTAAAAAACGTACTTTTACCCAACAAAAAATACAAGTATAGTGGTGGTGAAAGGGACAGGTAAAATAGAAGTCATAGTGGCACTATAATAAAGCAAATATAATTATCACAGACCTTTTAACCTGTTATTCACGTAGTTTTTTTAATTGATGTTACAAGAACTCTGTTTCCTTTTATTTTTCCAATCAGAAGATTTTTATAATTTATTTTATCTTATGAACAATATAGTTTTTATTTTTAGTACAGTTTGTTTATGTTTAGTCTCCGATATTCTTTGAAATATATAACCTTACACTAAAAAAATTTGAAACTAAACTATCTTAAATAATGACACTTCTTTGTTGATATTTATCACTTTTGGATAAGAAAAGTTGTCTGTACTGAGATCTAGATGAAATGTTTGTCATACAAAAAACTGACAATATCATCTTCAGACTGTCAAACTCTTATAATGACTTATGAAATGGTTAGGTATTGTTTAATTTATGGTATGACTTATTTAAAAAAAATATAACTTTTCTGAATGAATAAGAAGATATATTTCAAGTAATTTAGTACTATTATTATTATTATATATGAAGAGAAGAATTGTTGGGGTGGTCAGTCAAAAAAGAAGGCAAAAATAAATGATATTTATTTTTACATATGCCGACGTTTCGACCTGAAGTTCAGGCCTTCATCAGGGCTAAGAAAATAACCAGATAAAACAAGGTATGAGAAACATAAGTAGTGATGGTAAAAAAAATAAATAAATAAAAATAAAATAAATAAATATGAAGTAAAATAAGTTAGAATAATGACTAGGAATTAAGAGATAAATAATAATAACCGTTACAAAGTGTGGAATGATGAAGTAGGCATAATCAAAAAGGGTGACTTAAGTGTTACAATGGGAATCTTAGAATAAAATGTAAAACATAAAAAAAAAATATGAAGTTATATAAGAAATGAAAATAAATAGTAAAATTAAGACATTGAGAATGGAGTAGTTAGATAGAAAATTGAGATATTTTAAAGTCTATCAAGATGTACAGACAATGTATAATATAATAAAGAGTTAAAAACAGAGAAAAGGAAGGAGGGAAGAAATGGAGAAAGCTGAAATAAGAAATAAATAAAAGAGGTACTACCTGTCTCCTTAAGTGTTGCAGGGAGAATAAAAGTTGTTGAAAGGGAGGGGGAGAGAGAAGAGATGTGTAGGTGGCGTCATCTCTAACGGTTATCCGACGAAGTTTGAATTAAAGCACCGGAAGAGATATAGACACGAGAGATATATTACTCAGAAATATGGAAAATTGAACGAAAGTTAATAGAAAGTGGATGAAAAATTCAAAAGAAAAATAACTGTTGAGTAATAAGGGAGAATAATTGAAATAAAAATATATCATATATATATATATATATATATATATATATATATATATATATATACACACACATAAATATACACACACACCCACATATATATGTATGTACATATACATATATATACACACACACACACATATACACACATACATATATACACACACACCTGTATACGTATACACACATACACACACCCACATATATATATATATATATATATATATATATATATATATATATATATACATAAATATACACACACACATATACACACACCCACATATATATGTATATATATTAAATATATATTTATTAAAACTATGGATGTTTTAATAAATTCAGAATTTGGGAGTAGGCTAAAGAAAAGTTCTGTTTGTCAGTTTTTAGAACCACTGTCTTTGGTTGAAGTTGGATGTGGAGGGTTTCAGAAATGAGTCGTTTGTCATGGTTGAGAACTGTGGCAAGGATGGATGTTTTGTCGAAATCAAATGAATGATTGAGGGAAAGAGAATGTTATCTAATGTGTTATCTGGTTATTTTCTTAGCCCCGATGAAGGCCTGAACTTCAGGTCGAAACGTCAGCATATGTAAAAATAAATATTATCATTTATTTTTGCCTTCTTTTTTGACTGACCAACCCAACTATTCTTCTCTTCATTATCCACGACAGTCAACCATTTACCAATTATTATTATATATATTTTTATTTTTTTTATTTAGAGGTTAATAAGGAGAATGGATAAAGAAAAACCTATTTCACACTCTTTGTATTCTACAGTTGAAAAATTCAAGCTTATAAGTCTACAGTTACAAGAAATTGATGAAAAAAAACTATTAAAAGACCTTTACATACTTTCTTGGGATTATATCTTACTTTTAGGTAAGAAAGGTGTGGGTGCGTATATGTGTTTGTATGTATATGTGTGTGTCTGTACTTTTATTTGTAAACAATTAATGTTTATTGTTTTGTTTTTGTGCTATATAAATCCATAATATAACAATAACTTATCCCTTATATATAACTTTGATGTTAGAAAGAAATAGATTGCAGATGCTAGGAATAATTTTCAATTAATCATTGTTTTATTATTTATCTGGATATCTATCTGATTGGAAAAAAAGTATTCTTGTTATGGAAATAAGTTTGAATGATAACTTATTTCCATAACAAGAATACTTCTTTTTCACTACTAATGTTAATTGAACTCATAATATTGTTAAAAATTAGATGAAAGTTTTAAAGAACCATAATATTACCATGACATATTGTTGGTTTATTTCAAAAAGTCATTAAGTGACATTTCATAACCTTAAATAGTTAAAAACTTTATAGCTTAAAAGGTTGATAAATATTCAGGACGCAGTCTTTTTTAAATTTTTTTTTATTTTTGCCAACTACATGAGTACATGTACATGTACTACATGTACTAATAGTGAGGACATGAACAACCTCAGTGCTCAAACCACGCCCTGAAGATGACCCACATGTTTGGGTTGAAACATTGGCAAAAATAAAAAAAATTTTAAAAAAGACTGCGTCCTGAATATTTATCACCCATGGTATGTAGAACAGTAGACTAACTTCCTTCAAGTAAAGCTTAAAAGCTTTATATGTCAAATATAAAAGGTTTCATGTCATTTTCATGCACTCACAGTGTGTTTCTGTAAATAAATTAAGTCAAAATTCACAAACATATATTTGACAGTTAACCTATATCAAAAATGCACTGTGTGACTTTTTGCAACAAACCGACGATATTTATCATTCAAAAAATCTTTTAAGGCAGAAAAAAAAAAATTACAAAAGTTCTATTTAGATTTTTTAATGTTACAGTCATATAAGCCATTTCATTTTAACTTTTAAAATAACAATCTAAAATTTTGAAAAACCACCTCATATATCACCCCATGGTATAATACTGCAGTATATGTTAAAGATTACTTGAAATTCGAGTTTTTAATAAAGTTTAGTTATAATTTTCTCCTTTTATAACATTTTCATTAGTATTACATTTATTATACAGTTGGTTAAATGTTATTTCTAAAAATACATTTATCAATGTATATTTTAATCAATGTATCAATGTATCTTATAAAGAAATACATTTCAAAAACAAACAGTGAAACTAAAAATATAAAGGAAATTGTAGAAAAAATAAACACCTTATTGGAAAATATTACCTCGGGACGTAAATATGTAAAAAAAAAAGTTGATGAACTCAAAAATATTAACTCCCTATTAGAAGAAACAATAAAGAATCTAAAAAGTATGCATTATGCATCTATTTGATAGCTATAAGCAGAACATTGAATGCCAGAGTAGTAGGCAAGAGACAACATGGGAGGACAAGACCCAGATGGGTAGACAGGATCTACAAGGTCTGTAGAGTCAATTGAAAAAAAAAGGAGAACATTCTAAAGTGATTAAGTATGATGGGTTCTCATACATTAATGGCAAATGTCTGAAATTTATTGTGAAAATTAAATAGCTTTTGCTACACTGTTTTTTATTGTTTCAAGTTTTGATTAACTTTAGCATTGCAAGAGATATTATTTTTTTCTTAAATATTTTTTTTTAATAAAAGATTGTTATTTTTTCAGTTTGTAACTATGATGATATGATTTGTGATATTTTCTTGACACAAATTGTAAATTTTTGGAAGGAAAATCATTATGGCAACAATGAAGAAAGAATTTTATGCCCTCGCACAATTAAACAAGTCTCAGTGAAATCTGAAGAATTACAGGCAATAATTGCTAAAAATCTTGCAAGGTTGATGCTATTTAACTTGAAGGATGAAATGATTACTCCTGAAAGTTTTGAAACCCAAAATGTTGCAGTTCTTCGCCATACTTGGACTAAGGTTCTTTTTTTATTTAATATTATAATATTGATTATCATAGAGAAGAGAGCAGCCCTGGTGCCATCCTTGGCTGATCAATTATGCTGGGAATCTTGTATGAAAAAATTTTCTGTTGAAAAGAAATGATGTTTTTTTTATCAAAAGAAGGACTATGGCCATTTCAGATTCGTCTTGGGTCCATTCAGGCTTAAAATATTTTTAATTAGTCGAGAATAATGATAATTTTTAATTGTAATTCAGCAAAGTATTTTTTAAAGTTTGTTTTTGCATGATTCATTAAGTGTGAAGTAATAACATGTAAAAGGAAGGAGATAGTAACCTCTATAAAAATATCTTTTTTTTTTTCCAATACTTTGATAAATGTTATTATATAAAGAATTTTATGGTTACTGATCATACCATCTTTTATTCACAATTTCTTGTTATCTAGTATAGCCCTGGCTGGATTATTCTGGATAAACAGGATTCTGGATCAACTGTATATGATCATTTTATTTTCTATAATTACTATTTTATCTATGTATTAAATTGACCCATTGTGAGATGAAACTTATTAAGCTTGAATGTAAATTAAGTATAAAAACTCAGAAACATGCAGAAAATCTACTCTTTGGTAGTACAGTAAGTACAGTATAGGACTTCTGTGGGAGTCTTAGGCCGACAAAGGAGGGGAAAAAAAAAAAAATATGTTCACAACCTTAATCATAGGAATTAAAGAGTATTACGAAAAGTAATGTCTTGCCACATTAGAAACTTCTTAAGGCGGCCATACACGATCAGTCCATTTATCCAAATGGATCTATGTCACACCATTATTATATCATCAATGTGGAAACAGAAGTGGGTAAAGTGGACTGAAGGGTTATTTGGATATTCTTTAAGTTTAATATCCATCAATATGGTCCTCCCATTCGATTCATTCATTATCAACCCATTCCAATCTGGCTTACGACCTGGCTACTCAATGCAATCCGCTCTCCTTAAAATAAGCCATGACCTCCAAAACTCTATTGAACAACACTTACTTTTCTCATCTTTCTAGATTTTTCCAAAGCGTTTGACACAGTTGACCATAACATCCTCCTTACTAAATAATCCTCCTTAATATAAATCCTCCTTAGTAAATAGCACAATCTTTCTCTATCCAACAGTATCCTGCGCTGGTTCAAATCCTTCCTTTCATATCGGTCCCGGTATGTAGTCCTCCCAGGTCAACCTCCATCTAAGACCCTCCCCCTCTCCTGTGGTGTCCCTCAATGTTCCTCTCTGTATTCTATTCTATTTGCTATTTACATTAATGACCATTCCCTCCTGATTCATCACTCCCAATACCATATTTATGCAGATCATTCCCAAATATACCTGTTCCTTCTGCCCTCCGACCTATTATCAGCCATAGAAAAACTTCAAGAAGACTTGGATAGATTTCTGACTGGGCAAGAGCTAACAATTTGAATTTGAATGCAGAAAAGACTAAGGCAATCTTCATTAGCTCCAATCACCTCATTCAAACCGTTCTTAATATTCTAACTCTGTTCCTGCATGATAACCTTGGACTAACCTTCAATCAAATGCTTTCCTAGAAAAACCATGTATCCAATATTTCCTGCTGTACCATTTCTGCCCTAAATTATTGCATTCACCTATTTCCCTTTAAAATCCGTAGGTTCCTTGTCACTTCCTTAATTTTCCCCCACTTTGACTATTGCTGTATGGTATATGGGGGCGTCTCTGGGGATCTCAAGGCAAAACTAAAACGTTTAATAAATTGCTTTGTATGATTCATTTTCGGGATCCCACAGGCCTCTGTGTCCCGTTTTTATGCAGAGTTGAAGTGGCTTTATCCTTCCTACCCTCGTAAGTATTTCCTGTCATCCTTCCTCATTCAAGTCATCCAATCCTACTGCCCTTCATACATCTGCGAGCTCCTTCAATTCAACTACTCTGTTCATAATCTCCGCAGTTCTCGTTCCTGTTCTTCTGATATATATATATATATATATATATATATATATATATATATATATCAGAAGACCAGGAACTTTATATTGGGTATTGATCAACCTTATATATATTATTTATATATATATATAAGGTTATATATATTATTTATATATATTATTTATATATATATATATATATATATATATATATATATATATAAGGTTATATATATTATTTATATATATTATTTATATATATTATTTATATATATATATATATATATATATATATATATATATATATATAAGGTTTATATATATATAAGGTTATATATATGTATAAGGTTTATATATTTATATATTATTTATATCAACCTTATATTGGGTATTGATCAACCATATATATATTGCTGCTATATATATATATATATATATATATATATATATATACATACATATATATACTGATAAAAATTAGAAAGTAACTTAATTTTTTTTTTTATTACTATGACTATTTAATTACTCTGTATTTTTGTTTATGTATCTCTGAGGCTCCTTAGCCCACATTTCTGTTTTTTGTTGTTATTCTAAAGAGACTCCAGAATAAATAAAGTGTTATTATTATTCTTTATTCTTTATCACTTAAAAAAAAGGCATTTTCCTGGAGTGGGGAAGAATTAACTTCAACCACTTCACGTTCAATTTTGAAGTTCTTTTGGATATTTAGAAAGCTCCTTACGATTCTCGCAGTGTTCAGCAGCACAGCCTTCTGAGCTTCATTTATTGTGGCTGTTGAGAGGCCCAACTTCTCGGTAGCTTCTACAGTGGATTTTGGAATCAGCCCATTGCTAGAGATCATTAAAGCCCTTACTGTCACTTTGTTCAGTCTGTACAAATCTTTTAACTCGGCTGCAAGAGTTTGATATTTCCGAATTTTTTCGGCGCAGACTGTGAGTTGGTGTTCCCATTATTTGGCACAGCGCTATCTATTATTATTATTTTTTATTTATTCAATTCTCCGTTTTATGCCGGATAAATTCACTTATCCAGACCGAGGTCAAGGGTACAGTTTATTGAATATTTAATTTGAAATATTAAAAAAAAATCAAACAATACTGGCAGTTTCCAGCATTACCACTTTCTGGATTTCCTGAAGTTCACAGCTTAATCCAAGTACCTTCATTGATTTTAGAGTCTCTTCAGGATTCAGGCCATTGCTGGGTACAATAAGGGGTATTACTTTTACTTCCACCAGCCGGTATAACTGCTTTAATTCCTCGCATAGCTTGATACTTCTGAATTTTTTCACTTAATGTTTTATCTACGTTATCATCAGCAGGAAGAAACTCCAACTTCGATAATGATGCCTTTCTTTGTTTCTTTATCCATGAGCAGTATATCTGGTCTACTGTGGAGAATACTATGGTCAGTTATCATAGTTTGATCCCAGTATAGCTTGACATTCCCTTTTTGTAATATAGCCTGTGACTTATATCTATAAAAAGTCTGATGGCCTGTTATTAATTTATATTTTTGTGCCATAGCCTGATGCATGATTGTTGCCACATTATTGTGTCGCAAGGTATTCTTTACCTACTAATGCCTGGCAGCCAGAGGTAACATGTTGAATCGATTCATTTGGCTTTACATAGACGGCATCTGTCATCGACTGCTTCATGTAGAATATACTTCCTGTTGGAGGATGTTGCCATTACCTGTTCTTGTATTGCCAGAAGGAATCCCTCTGTATCTGGGAACATTTTTCTTGTAGTCAACCAATGGACTGAAGCTTCTAAATTTATGCCAGGTGTTTTAAGGAAATTGTAAAATCTTCCATGAAGTGATTTACACTTCCATGATTCTGTGAGGTTCTCCTCAGTTGGCATTGTCATTGGTTCTTGCCGAAGCATATTCAGTGCTCTATAGTTGCAGTCAAAGGCAGCAATGGTCAACAGTACCGTTGAAGTACTATTCATGAAGTAGGTTCTACGCATGGCTTGTTATTCACGGCAGGCCTTCATTAAACTAATAAGTCCTCTACCTCCATGTTTTCTAGGCAAATATAGTCTTGGCACTGAAGAATTTGGGTGACGTTGCCGCGATTTTATCATTTCCCTTCTTAATAAGTGGTCCATCTTTTCAGAATCAGTGTCGCTCCATTTTATTGCTCCAAAGGAATATGTAACAGCCAAGGTATTCAAGGCTTTTACTAAATTTCCTGCCGATAAATTAGTTTTAGGAGTATCCTGACCCGTTTCTAAAATTCTTCTTCAAAGGTTTCTTAGACCTCTTTTTTTAATTTAAGCATCAAGATACTTGTAGGAGTCAGTTAACTGAAGTTTCTTGATGACCACTATTATTAAGTTCAATATTAGCGGAATCCTTATATCTTCCTCTGTGGACATTAAGGGTTGCCATTTGTTTGTTCCTAACTACATCCCAATATCTTCAGTCAATGACCTTACCAACTCAAGAAGAGATCTCATGTCTCTCCCGTTCTTTGCATACAGCTTTAAGTCATCCATATAAAGAGAGTGAGAAATTATTGTTTCCTGATTCAGGGAATAACCTTTTCCAGATTGATTTAAAATAGAGCTTATAGGATTAATTGGGAGGCAGAACCATAAAGGGATTAACAAATCCCCCTGAAATATTCTTCTTTTTATGGGAATGTTCTTTGAGACAACGGGATTCTTTTCAGTTGGGTGTACCAATGATACTTCCCATAGCTTCATAAGTCGTTGCAATAGTTCTATTACTTTTTGATCAACCTTATAAATCTTGAGAACTTCAATCAACCAGTCATGAGAGACTGAGTCAAATGCTTTCTGATAGTCAATTCACGAAAGAGATATATTGCGTGACTTTTTTAATACTTGATAAGCTATGAATGAATCGACTACAAGAAGCTCTTTACATCCCTCTGAGTTTCGCTTACATCCAATCTGCTCCTGTGCATAAGGTTGTTATTTTGTACATACCCCATTAGTTTATTACTGATTATGGATGTCAAAAGCTTGTAAACTCCATTAATACATGTTATTGGTCGATAGTCTT